TAACATAACTGTACATATTTATGGGATATCCATCACCTCAAACATTTATCATTTCTTTGTGTTAAGAACTTTCCAGATCTTCTCTACTAGCTATTTTGAAATATATAATAAATTATTGATAACTACAGTCATCTCACTGTGCTAATGAACACTAAAACTTATTCCTTCTATCCCATTTGTACCCATTAACCAACCTCTCTTTGTCCCTCCCCCCACCCTCTACCTTTCCTAGATTCTGGTAACTGCCAAAAAGTTAATATTCATATTAAGAATCCAAATACAGAAATGTATACCAAACCAAAAAGTCCCCTGTAGTCCCACCCCCTAATAATAATCACTATTAATTAAAACTGTTAAGTTTGGTTGTAGCATTTTCCAAATACAAACTTAATATATTTTTAATATAAAAACGGGATAATATACTTAATATTCTGCATTATGCTTTTTTCCATTGGACCATATATCATATTCTATACTTTTTCATAGTTTCAGAGTATTCCATTGTGTCAGTGTGTTATAATTTATTTACTCTCCTATTGGTGAGCATTCAAATAGCCTCCCCTCTTTAAAAAACATATTAAACAATGCCAAAGTCAAGATTCCTACACCTAAATTATTGAATGTTTATTCACATATTTCTATGGGACAAATTTTGGGATATGAAATTGCTGAATTGAAAGGTATACATATGTAAAATTGAAAGCCTAAGCCAAAACGCTCTCCCAAAGGTTGTGTCAATGTATGAGAGCATAAATAGTCACGTGACCTTTTTAATTTAAATATAAAGCATAAGCACTGTTAAATAAATTTCAATGTTTTTTAGGTTTCACCAAACTTTCACTGAACATCTGAAAATATGAACACTATTCTTGGCTGTGTACCAAGATAGGTTTAATTCGCTTTCTAGACAAAAACTATGAACTCTACCCTACAGTTGTGTTGTCCAATACAGTAGCCACATGAGGCTACTGAGCATTTGAAATGTGGCTAGTCTGAATTGAGGTGTGCTAGAATTATAAGATACATACCAGATTTTGAAGGCTTGGAATAAGAATGTAATATATGTCATTAATAATTTTTAAAATAATAAATTATTGACATAAAAATTTTGATATATTAGGTTGGTTAAATGAAATATATTATTAAGTTCACCTGTTTCTTTTTACTTTTTTAATGTGGCTACTAGAACATTTAAAATTACACACATGATACATATTTTTATTGGATGGCACTGCTCTCTAGAATACTTTTACACTTTAATACAATATATTCAGTAACTATTAACTACATGGTGAAAGACAGGCTTTAAGAAGTAATCAGACTAAAGACGATTTAGTAATATGTACTTAATGCAATGCATTCTATCTACTCTCCATGCCACTGAAAAGAGGTGCATGTTTTAGTATTAAAATGTCTTTTACCACTCATACTAAGAAAAGATAAACGTAATTTTGTTGTGGAAGAACAGATCCACACAGTAAGACATCTCATTATTAAAAGATCTGAGAGTTCAATCCATTTACATTATGATTTCTGATTAAATCATAATTATAAACTCACAGATAATGCTGAGTGAAATACTGATAATCACTAATTATAATTACCGTATTCCCAAAAACCAAAATATTTATTTTTTAAATAAATACTTTCTTTTTTCTTTTTTTTTTTTTAAAAGATACCAAACCAGATCCAGGATATAAATTACTTTCTAGCACCTAATTAGCAAGTTGCCATGCCCAGCCTGACTAGGCTATCATTTAAACTAATGACCTGTTATTATTTAAACTATTTCTACAAAGTAACGTTAATCTCTGCTGTAACATTTCTGGAAATCTTATTTTTATAGCCCTATCACAAACAAAGAGCAAAAATTGCTCAATGGTGGGACATAGTATCAGTGATGACAGCTGTTACACCCTACTTGTTCTTCTTGAAGTCTAATTTAAGAAAGTTATTATATTTACAATGTTCTCATCCAGCCTGGGCCACTTAGCTTAATCCTTTAGGGCAGGATGCTAATGTAGCAAAGATGTCATTTTGGTGCCTGCATAGGACAGTTAGTCCTGCCAGTGAACAATTCAACCACCAGAAGTTAGACGCATAGGCTCTGGAATCAGACCAGTTAGTTCAAATCCCAGTTTGCTACTCACTAGCTCTGTAACACTGGGTATGTCACTTACCTTCTCTAAGTACTTTACATGAATTAGCTCATTTAATCTGCATAACAACCCTATGAGATGTGACTTCTATTATTATACTCCTTTCACAGATGAGGAAACAGAAGCACAGAGATGTAAAGTAAACTGCCCAAGGTCTCAAGGCCAGTAAACGAAAGAAGCAGATTTGAGACCCAGGCAGTTTGGCTCCACAGCCTGTGCTCTTTCCGCCTCTGCATGTAAACTGCTTAGCATTGCCTGATGTGAAAGTTCTATAAATGTTAGTTGTCATCACTATTGCTGATTACTTTCTGATTCTCACATTTATGGTCACAAGGAGAGCCAGGTGAGTACAGATGACAAAGCCAAAAACAATTCAACACACATGACCTTATTTCTGACTTTCCTTTTTACTCTGCAATAATTTTAGACTTCTAAGACCTCATATTGCACCTAGTTGTGCTGTCTCCTTAGTCTTCTCCAACCTGTGACAGTTCCTCAGTCTTTCTCGTTTTTCTGTTACCATGATACTTGACAAGTACTGGTCAGTTATTCTGTACAGTGTCTCACAATTTGGATATCTATGATGTTTTATGAGATTGAGTTAGGCATTTTTGGCAAGAATACCACATAAATGATGTTGTGTACCTCAACTGAAGACAGAGGGATGTAGGTAGGTCTTACTACTGGTGCTATTAATCTTGAACACTTGGTTATGGTGGCATCTGCTGGATTTCTCCACTGTAAAGTTACTATGATTCCCTTTGTAACTGATAAATATCTCAGGATATTTGAGACCATGCAAATACACTGTTTCTCCTCAAACTTTTGCCTATTGATTTTAGCATCTATTGGTGGATCTTGCCTGCAAAAAAATTTTACTGTGGTATTTGCCTAGTGGTGATTTTCTATGTTTCTCATTCCCTCTGCATTTAATAACTGGAATCATGCATGACCTTTTGATGGCATATAATGGATTCCAAAAGGCTTTTATGAAACAAACCAATCAAGATAGTAAAAGTTTATGCAGAAATTCTACAGGCCTTTCAAGTACAGAAAGTCCTTTAGTTTGTGGTTTCTGGACTTCTATGGCAACCAACAGTGCCTCACATGGAGAAATGTGATCACAAATGAAATGACTCTGCCATCCTTGATGTCCCTGAGGGATCATGCACTCCTGACCCCTTATTAAACATTATCCTGTACTCACTGCTTTCCCTCACTCTCTCCTGTACTCCTCCCTCAATGACCGCTCTTCCTCAGCATTCTTTACGAGCTTGCTCTGTATCTCATGTATGTTGATATTCCTCAGGGTTCTATCTTGTCACTCTATTTTTTTTCTTTATTTTTTATTTTTTAAGAGACAAGGTCTCGCTCTGTCACCCAGGCAGAGTGGCTCAGAGTGTAGTGGCTCAATCATAGCACACTGCAACCCTGAACTCCTGGGCTCAAGGGATCCTCCCCCCATCTCAGCCTCCCAAAGTGCTGGGATTACAGGTGTGGAGCCACCATGCCCAGCCTTGTCACCATATTCTTGTCACACTGTACCCTTCTTGGAAAATAGCAATTAAATTGTTTACAAACTATCAACTAATAAATATCTACATCCTTAACTTGACAAAAAAAATCCTTGGCTTTCTCAAGGTTGTGTCAAATTCCAACATATTCAGAAACTGAATCCCTCAAAAAACAAAAATTGATTTCCTCCTTGCAGCCTCTCTCTTACACACATATCAATGAGTAATACCAAAATCTATGTAGTTCCCTCTGGAACTCTGGGAGTCAGTCTAACCTTCTCACTTTTCTTTACCTCTTCATGTTCAGCAACTCTCAAAAACTACTCATCTGCATAAACGTCTCTCAAATCCATCATCTCTTTTCCTTCTAGCCCTTGCTCTCATAAATTTCTAGTCCTTTTCTATAAAACCCCTAGAATTATCCTTCTAAAATATGAATGCGATGACAACATTCCTCTGACTAAAATCTTCCAATAACTCACTACAATCTATAGCATAAAGTCCAAAATTCTTGGCATGGACATGATCCAGCACTCACCTACGCATGCAGCCTCATCTCCTACCATTCCCCCGTATTCGCTTTAAGTCTCTGCTAAAAAAAATTAATTGCAATTCCCAAAGTGGGCTCCACACTCTCTCAAGTCTGCAAACCTTTTTGCAAAAATTATTCTTTTTGCCTTTCACTCGACTAACGCTTACTAGTCTCTCAAGGTTCAGCGTGGATGTCCCATCTTACAGAAAGTCTTCCTGAGCAGTCTGCATTCCCTTGGGGAGGCCAGGATTATCTCTACTGTAGCATCTACCACACAGCAGTATCACTGTCTGCTAGTGTCTGCCATCCTCTCCAGACTAGTCTCTAATCAGGGGTTCAGTATCCACAGATTTAACAAACGGTGCATTACTCCATGATCTGTGAGCTGCAAACAAAACAAACAAAAACCAAAAAACCAAACTGCAAACCGTGGATCAAAAATATTCAGGAAAAAAAAACCAGATGGGTGTGTCTGTACTGAACATTTACAGACTTTTCTTATTATTCCCTAAACAATACAGTGTAACAACCATTTACATAGTATCAGGCATTATAAGTAATCCAGAAATGATTTAAAGTATATGGGAGGATGCACACAGGTTATACGCAAATACTTGCCATTTTATACCAGGGACTTCAGCGCTCATGGATTTGGGTGTCTAGTGGAGTAGATGTCCTGGAACCAATCCCCCACAGATACTGAGGGCAGACTGGATCTTACCTAGCAGCAATTAGCATCATCTTAGAAGGTGAAGGACACTAAAACCATTTTTTTTTTTTTTAAGAGACAGGGTCTCTCTCTGTCACCCATTCTGGAGTGCAGTGACATGATCATAGCTCACTGTGGCCTTGAATTCCTGGGCTCCAGTGATCCTCCTGCTTAAGCCTCTGAAGTCACTGGGACTACAGGCACATGACACCACATCCAGCTCACTTCTTATATTTTAATGTTTAGCCCTGTTTAAATACAATGTCTCTTGTTTGTTTGTTGCAAGATAAGATTTTTATTATTTTATTTATTTTATTTTATTTTTGAAATAGAGTCTCATTCTGTCACCCAGGCTAGATTGTAGTGGCACGATCATAGCTCACTATAACCTCAAACTCCTGGGCTCAAGCAATCCTCCTGCCTTAGCTTCCCAAGTAGCTGGGACTATAGGTATGCACCACCACACCTGGCTAATTTTTTATTTTTTATAGAGACAGGGTCTCCCTATGTTGCCCAGACTGATCTCACATTCCTGGCCTCAAGCGATCTTCCCACCTCAGCCTCCCGAAGTGCTGGGATTATAGGTGTGCTGGCCCAGAATAAGATTTTAAATGCCTCTGGACATATTGGGATGTGGGGATCTCAACCACTATCAAAATGCTACAAGACAAAGGTATATAGTTACATTGGCACATACCTCTAATGAACAGCATAATGAGGATAGTTTAATACATTAATATAACAAAAGCAGTTGCTATTAAAACAAAATTCTGTTTTTTTTCTTTCGACCTGATAAATTTCTCTCATTTGGGAAACAAGAGACTCACACTCTCTTCAGTTATCTGCCACACTAGAAAAGTGCTTACTCCTCCAACAATCATCCAGATTTCTTAATCTGTTATGTTCACAGTTATAGCTTCTCATTACCTGATGAGCACTTTAACTTTCCTATCATAATCACCCAAAAACATTTTCTGGTTGACTGTCAACAAGGTGACATAGTAGATAACAAGGTTGGAATTGTTTTAAAGGATAAAGCATCATAATTTTGACCTTAAAGAGTATAGCTATCTGCCCCAATACTTTAAAAATTCATACAAATGCAATATAGAAAAGGTATTTTTTCCCCTCAATTATTCTGAAGAATACATATTTGCAATACCAATGATGATAGAGAAACACAGGAGTAACCAAAGAAACTAATATTTCCAATGCTTACTATATACCAGACATTTACGCATTACCTCATTTAATTCCCACACCAAATTTATAAAGCAGGGATTATTATCTCCACTTACTAATGAGAAAAGTGAGGCTGAGAGAATAAAGAAAAGCCAAAGTCATAAGAGCCAGACAGAGCTAGGTTTGAACCCAAGTCTCCTGATTTGAATTCCTGAGTCCTGTCTCTAGAGAACACTTATGACCTCATAAAACTATCATTTTAGAAGCACAGTACTGGAGACAAATCTGATCCCAAAATTTAAACCATTCAGCCTAGTCACCTATAAAGTACTATTTGTAACATTCTTCTTTAAATCCCTGGAGGAGGAATGGAGGGAAACAGGTACAGAAGAGGCATATAAGTGAGCAAGGAAATGAACACGAGGCAGGAGACTGACCCAGTCCTGGAATACTGATAGCAATAATAATGGCAGCAATAATGACAACAAATACTTACAAAGTCCTTACTATGGAACCGTACTATTCTAAGAGCTGCACACACACTACTCAGTTAATTCTCACAGCAATCCTACAAGGCTGGTACTATTATCACTCCCATTTTACAGATGAAGAAACTAGCACAGAGTGTTTAAGGGTTTTGCCCAAAGTAACTACTTATCAGTGTCAAAGCTGGCATTCAAACTCAGTCTGCCTGCCTCTTAAGGCCACACTCTAACCATTACACTAAAAATGAACCTGGAAAAGTACAAAGATTTGGAAATTTCAACATAGGGAAAAAGATAAACAAATTACTACAATTTAACCTGAGATTTAAGAAAAGTGACTTTAAATCAAAAGATGATGAAAAGCTATTTTGCACTTCTGCAAAATTAAAGAAAAATAAGCACTTCTTGATGAGTTTTATTAAATACTAAAACAAGTTAATTAAAGTAATTGTGAAATCTGCTTCTCTGAAGATCTTTAAAAATCAGACAGGCTCACATTTGTCTAAAGAGAATTTAATGACAGGCAGGCTCTAATAAGGATGTGGGATTAGCTATCAGCCTAAAACTGTCCTAACACAGGAGTTTAAGATTCTCTTTGTATGCACCTAAGTTATAAGTACTTTCTTTGACACTGAGACTTTGTGTAATGATAATTGTGTTTCATACACACACACACATAGTTCCCAAGTCTAAAAGTAGAGCAATATTGATTCCTACTCTTGCTACTTTTGTCTGTAACCTTGTAAGACCACTTAAAGAGCTCAGAGGATGGAAGGTTTTCCCAAAGTCAGATATTTCTCTATTTTCTCATAAAAACTATATTTCTCATCTCATTTAAGCACCCCATTAAATTCTCTGAAGTCCTTCATTTCTGTCTTTTAAGCATACTGTGTACGTGTATGTCATCATGAAAATGGACCAATATAACCCTATTCTAAATAAGACAGAATAAAATTTTTCTATTATTCTATAGAAATCATTTTCTAAAACTAAAATAATTTCAACTATCTTACTTTTGTTTTCTTATTATTTCTCTTTCGGGAAAGCACAGATATTTCACCCATGCATTCACAACAGGAAAGCAAAAAGTCAATGCAACTGTATTTCCATTTTAGAGTAGAAAAAACTTAACTCCTCAAATATTATTTATTTTTCTAATCCTTAAAAACAGAGTCATCAGAAGAAAAAGAAAAATGACATAACAGCTAAAATGCAAAAGCAGAGATACAAAATATCATGTTAAAATTTTTTCCAAAAAGTAACTCACCGAAGTTTCCTTCCTTTGCTGGCTTTCCTATCTACTTTCTTGTGGATTTTGCTTCGTAACTTCTGGATTGCAAGCCACTGCCTGGGAAATTCACAAGCAATGTTATGCATCATCACTAACAGAAACAGTTATACATATTGACAAATTGGAATTTTTCTCACTAACAACCCTGCAGAAAGAAACTATCAACCTACATCAAGTTTCTCAAGCTAGTTTGGGGCCTAAGTGACTAATCAATTAAAGAGGATTTGTGCAATGGTAAAAAACAAATGGCAGCTGGGAAATTCTACAGCAAATTTGGTTAACAATGCTTCTTAGTATTTGGAGTTACTGTGACAAGCACTAAATCTACCAGTCTGCAGGAAAACACATCAAATTGAGTATAGCTGCTTGGGTTTTCTTTTAATGTTTTAGCTATGCAGCATGTTCTATTTACTAATGTTGCAACTGCCGGATGGTTTCAATACATGAATTCTTTACATCCAACTTTCTCTTTGGTAATATCCAAGTGTCTTTTCTTCTTGTGCATTCCAATTTTTGCTAATTTTTAATAATTATTCACTACTGATACTAGTTTTATAGTCATTTTATTTAATTTTCATTTCATCTATAAATACTTCAGTATGTGTTGCTGAAAGATAAGGACACTCCCTTCAATATAATCTCAATACCATTATCACACCTTAAAAAAAGAGTCAACAATAAATTCTTTACTATCAAATATTTAATCAGTCTTCAAATTTCCCCAAATGTCTCAATTTTACAGTTGGTTTGTTTGGATCAGGATCCAAACAAGATTCACATAATCTGCAATCATTTTAGATAAGAAGGAATTAATTTTTCAATATGGGATACTTGGCTAAGAAAATCTTCACAAATTGCTCATATGAACAAATGTGAAAAACAGAAAGAGAAGGAGAAACAGCAGCAGCAGCAGCAGCAGCTAGTCATCTTACCTGATTTATACAACGAAAACCCAACATCAGAAAAAAAAAATCTAGGGAAATCCAATTACTGTAATCTTAATATAATCTTAATTACCATAATCTATTTTATTGTAAAGTCAGATAAATGTACAATATAATCACCACTTAAATGCAATTTGCTCTATCACATTAAATTTATAGCGAACAGCTCTCTATAACATTCCAGAGATAAACGAAATATCAACAACATCCTACCCTAAAATTCAAATAATATTTTATTCAAATAAAATTATTTCATCAACACAAATTTTTCATTGCTTGCTCAAAATGCTGCTCTGCCCAGAATCCCATTCTGGCACTTGCAGCTTTTGTTTCCTTTCATGCTTTTGCAAATTATGGCTCATGGCTATTTAAATGTACACTATTCATTAGGTAGCACTCTAAATGCCCTTTTTATTTTCCCACTACAGGATGAAGCATACACACAAGAGCCTTCCTTCACTACTTTACATTCTACCCTGACATCTGGGTAATGCTGCCACGTTCCATTTCTAATTGTGCTGAAGCTTTTACGGACGGGGTGGAGGTCTAAATTAGGGCAGACTCTAACAAAGCAGATTCTACTACGAGCAAGGAACCTGTTGGGCGCAGAGCCATGTTCTGACAGCTGAAAGCACACATTTGGGTGGCTGCTTTTCATGCACTGGTCAACAGACTGATATGGATACAATCATAACCCAAACCAGAGAGCAAAGAGCGTAAGAAGGACTCTGAAAAACAAACCCTAAAACAAACAAATGAGCGTTTTATAATCTCTTTTCAAATTGCACTTAAGGGAATGGAGGGCAAACAATTAGTCACTTTGTCTTTCTAGCTCTTATTATCTTGCTTAAGTTTGATAATTATAGGGCCAATCACACTTTGGAGGTAGCATTAAGGGGATTGGAGGGGAGAAACTATTATAAATGCTGCTTGAATGAATAGAAAGCCATATCTAAATTACCTTCCCATGGCCACCTGATCGTTGGGATCCAAGGAACTCGTCTTCCGTTCTATGAGTTCTCGAAGGAGCTAGAGGAAGAAGGAAAGCAACTGATTTATTTATCATCTCCTAATACCAACCGACTTTCAAAGGGCACAGAAAGAATTCTGAATGGCATAGTGACAGCTCTGAAACTACAATCAATAAGGGACAGCCCAGTGGCAAGAGCATAACTGAATTTCCATTAACCCTTTCATATTTACATATATCTTTAAAAAGGTGGCTATAGTAATAGCTGAGAACAGAAGTCCATTTAGAAGACTTATTTTACTGCAGTTCATTTCAAATGGATCAATGAGTGTCCAACATTCCCTCCATTGTTTTTATGATTAGTTTTGTCCATCCCATCAATATCAATGGAGAATCTTTAAAAGGTCAGGTGGGAAGGGCTTGTGGCAAAAAGGGAAATGCATCAGCTTCTCACCAATAGGATATGGTTAACTTCTGAACTATAACCTCCAGCAGTTGGGAAGGTCTTCCTCAGGCAAAAGGCTTTATTGTATGTAATTAAAAGTGTGGACTCCATCCTCTTGCTTTCCACAGCTGCTACTCTACCAGGCTTGCTATGAAGTGATTTAACCACACATGACACCAACATATTCATAGCCATAAAAATTTTAAGAGGGAACCTAAAGAAAGTCATTTGTGTATACTACAAATACAACACAGAGGAACAGTCTCTCATCCTATACAATTAACTGCACAGAAATTACTCTAAACGACTCTCCTACTCTCTTAATCCTTACTCTAGTGCATCCAATTGAAGTCTAAATCTATACCTTCCACACAGACTTAAGAATTTGCACTGTGACTTAAAGTTCTAGGTGAAGAGAAGCAATGGATTTAAAAGTTAAACATTAAAGGAGGAGAATATGAAATAACAATGGTAAAACTACAAGTGCTACATGCAGAGAAATAGCAACAGAGATTAAAATTCCAAATATCTTCTGAGACAAATCTAAGGGAAGAGGCTAGAAAAGTTTCTGCTAATCATCTGTCAATAATACAGGTTTGACTTTGAAACCTGCTTCTTCACGAAAATTAGCAATTATTTTGTAGGTGAGGCATGGTAGCAATACAGACATTTCATCAAGTCAAATAGCTGAAGCCTGTGGGAGGATGAAGAAGGAGGAGTAATTCCTCTGAAAGTTCACTTTCTAATTTTCATTTGTTTATATAAGTAGGCACTGGAAGAAGTAAAACAAATTTATAAAAATATTCACTTCCAAAAGATGAATCTTTATTGCAAAAGGGCAAAGGATATCTCAATCGCAATTAAAAAACCTCCTGTGATTTTTTTCATTTGCTTATTTTGGACATTATTACCACAGCAATTATGTTTAAAAATGCAGGGACCAGAAGCCACTGGTTTATTATCACTAGAAAACAGCAAGCTATTTCTCTACCCTGTTTATCTGATTGATTCCCAACATCTTTCTGGCAGCCAATCTATCAGTTTATCTCTCCTACTTTATCACAGTCACTTCTGGCAGCTAAATACAAGATCCAAATCCAGTGTTACACAGACATACGACATAGTAAACCTGTGTACCACTGCTACTGTGTAAACAGCTGCCCTTAAGGCTAAGCAAAAATGGGCTTCTGCTTCCTAGTCAATATTCTGTCAAAAGCAAGGCTGGGGGGATGGGGGAGGGAGGAGAGGTTAATAATAATGAAGAAAAAGCAGAGAAAGAGAAAAATGAAAAGGAAGGAAAATAATGGAATGACAGCATTTCATTGCCCTTACCTTGTTCCAGCCACACAGGAGATTACAACCACCATTCCTGGTTTTCCTAATCGTCTCAGATCCCTGGGGACTGGGGCAGTCATGGCAACTGGGGAGCAAGTGCTCACGGAAGGTTGCCCCAGCACAACAGGGGCGACCCTCTGGAAGAGAGCCCCAGATGCCCTTGCCGAAAGCTGGCAATTGGAGCTGCACAACTGCACTGGATCTATTAAACTTGCAGTGGTCTCTGCAATTCAAACACCAAGTTGGTGCAGCATTTACTTTCAAGCACTCTGTGTTACTATACATATTCTGGGCTGCACTTTCACTACCCAAGTGTTTTGCATGGCTATTCTTGTCTTTCATGATTAGGAAGAGTGTTTTATTGGTCTATCCGGCTACATTTAGTTTATTTTAGACCAGTATTTCAGAAAATTCTGTTGTGCCCAAGGTAAGAATAACAAAGCAACAACAACAACAAAAATATCATTAAACTATCCCATGGCTATCACTATCACTATGTTTAAATTTAATTAGGAAAATTGCTTTCAAAAAAGTTGCTGAAAAATGAAGCTTTGGTGATATTGGTTCAGAAATTTAATTCTGCTTCTGAATTCAATTTTTATAGCTTTAACTTTATGAACAAACTTTTCCACTAAAATTCAAGTTTCTGTTACAGTTATTGGAGCTTTTTATTTCAACAACGATGATACGATATTTGTAGTAATTTTCTCTGTGACTCAGAAAACAGAGAAATGTGTAAAACATTTTTGTCCTAGTCTGTTATAATCCCTCCAGATAATCAATTCAGAAAGGCTCGATTGTATCTCTCATTCTAGGGGAAAATCATAGATGTAGCTAGGTTTTCAGGTCAGCCTACAGAAACTACTTAACTCCTAATAACATACATGAGCAACAGCACTGATAGGACTATTCAGCACCTAATCAACATTTATAATACTTTGACTAGGAAAAGGCATGCCAGAATCAGTTAAAAATGTCAGACTGAACACATTAGTTTCTCTCTTCTCCCTTCTCAATCCCTCTAAAAGACAGTAGAGGAATAAATGTATTGACCCGCAAGAAAAAAGAGAAAGGGAGAGCTAATGAAAGCATATTTTCATCAACTCTTCCAAGGCAGTAAGGAGACGGAGGGGTAGAAGGTAGTTACGAGCCATGTGCCCAGCGGGAATACAGGTGAGGGTGGAGCAGATCAGGCCCACAAAATCCTCATGAGGATCAGCTCTCTCCGAGTGGCAGTGACCATGAAAGGTGGGAGAAGGAGGAGAGGGAAGAACCATGTGGGCCTTCTCCATTATCCCCATTATCCCACACAGCCAAGTGACTGACCACCTTCGCCACCTCCACCGCCTCCTTTCACAGGAAGAAAGAAACCATATTCTTTGGAAAAACTGAACCACAGAAGCTCCAGAGTGGAAGACATCAGGCACAGAGGCTGGAATGAGGTACAAGGGGAAAGCTCTACGCTGATCTCTGAAACCTTCTGAACTCTCCCCCTACCTTACTTATGGAATGTTAACACCCAGTTGTATAATTTTCTTGGGAGGAAAGCAGAGGAGTCTTTTCTAGAAAAAATGAATGGCTCTTCCCCCCTAAAAGTAAGATTTCCAAGTTGCTATGGTCTGAATGTGTCCCCAGAATCCATGTGTTGAAAACTTAATCCGCAATACGACAGTACTGGGAGGTACAGCCTTTGGGAGGTGACTGAGTCATGCAGGCTCCACCTTCATGCATGGGATTAGGTATCCTTCTAAAAGGGCTTCACAGAGGCAGTTTGTTCCTTTTGCTCTTCCACTTTCAGCCATGTGAGGATACAGTGTTCCTCCCCACAAGAGAATTTAATATCAAGGTGCCACTGGAAGTGGAGAGCAGCCCTCACCAGACAACCGAACCTGCCAGCACCTTGTTCTTGGACTTCCCTGCCTCCAGAACTGTGAAAAAATAAATTTCTGTTCTTTATAAATTACTCAGTGTGTGGTATTTTCTTAAAGCAGCACAAACAATTAGATATACAGAAAATAAAACAAACGAATACAAATTCTGACATTTGAGGGTACTCTAACCAAGAGGTTAGTTCAAGCATCATTATATTTAAAGAAGCCAAAAAGCTCTACCTGTGTTTCAGAGATTCCAAATAAACTTTAGTGCCTTGCTCTTAATACGAACAGTTAAAAACCACCAACAGCTAAAGAAAACCTCAGGCATAGACCAAACAAACAGAAAACAGAGACCCAAGGAAGCAATGCAGAGAAAAAAAGAAACACTTAAAAAAGAAAGGAATTAAAAACTTAAAAGGAATATTCCCAGAGAAGTGAGAGAAGATACATGTTGATAAGAACAAGATGCTGTGAGAAAAGACTAAGACTAAAACTTAAACTTGAAACAGAATTTTTAAAAAAATTCAACAGAAGAACTAGAAGATAAATGTATGAAAATCTCTCATATACAAAACAAAAAGGAAGGCCGGGCACAGTGGCCCATGCCTGTAATCCTAGCACTCTGGGAGGCCGAGCCAGGAGGATTGCTTGAGGTCAGGAGTTCAAGACCAGCCTGAGCAAGAGAGAGACCCCGTCTCTACCAAAAATGGAAAAATTAGCCAGGCATGGTGGTGCATGCCGGTAGTCCCAGCTACTCTGGAGGCTGAGGCAGGAGGATCACTTGAGCCCAGGACGTTGAGGCTGCAGTGAGCTATGATGACACCACTGCACTCTACTACCCAGGGCGACAGAGTGAGACTCTGTCTCAAAAAAAAAAAAAAGGAAAAAGATAACATCCCCTTGCTTATTTGTGAGATAAAAAAATATAGGACAATATTAGAATAGAGGACAATCTAGGAAGTCAAACATCTGACTAACAAAGGCTGGAGAAAAAATTTTAAAGAAATAATAATGAAGATTTCCCCAAATCAAAGAACAGGACAAGCCTGCAAAGACCTAGTAAAATGGATTAAAAAAAGGGCCTTTCCCAAGAGACATCATCACAAAACATAGAACATCAGAAGTAAAGAGAAGATCCTAAACAGAGAAAAATTAGGTCACATATAAAGAGGGTGACCATATGTCCCAGTTTACTCGAGACAGTCCTGATTTACACTTGTCCTAATATTCTTTCAGGCTAGCACCTTAAGTGTCCCAGTTTTGATAATAAATTATATGGTAACCCTACATATTAAGGAATGGAAATCTAAATAGGATTAGATATCTCAATAGCATTAGCAGATATGAAAGGACAGCAAAGCAATGCCATCAAAATTCTGAGGAAAATAACTTCCAAACTCAAATT